GGATATGTGCCAGAATAATTCTCTCAAAAAGCTTACCCAGGATCAAGGTAAGACTAACTGGCCTATAGTTTCCCAGGTTCTCCTTCCTCCCTTTTGAATGTGTCCAGAGTAGGTGCTTTCACCACTTCTGAGGGGAGTCTATTTCAAATTCTTGCTCCAGAGACTACCAGAACTTCTTTGTTTAAATATGGGCAAAGCAAACTTATTTTTTTCTAGCAGCAGATTAGTCACTTTTGTTGACTTCACTTTTTTTCTGAGGGGTAAATGTATCCTTGGAATGGCTTCATAAGGAGAGGGAGGCTGCTGCTGGGGAGTGGACAGCAGCTGTTTCACTGACTTACATGTGTATGAGCCAGTAGCAATACAAGTTAACCAAAATTGCTCCAGCTTTAACCTTGCTTCATCCAGGGTCACATTTGTAGTGATTTAGCTTACTTCTATCCCTATAGGATCCTGTGGTGTGGCCAAGTATCAGCAGACTTACCCCTCCCCTTTTGAAGCTTTTCCTTGTGTATGCTTGTCCATGTCCTGTGGCAGATGCTCAGCATAAAAAACAAAAGTTCAGATGACCATAAATTTGTTCTAATTTTCCATATATAGAATCTAATCTAATTCACCCCTCCCACCACTGCAGGGGGGAGGCAGGTGGTAGGGGGAGGTCATTGCCCTGTGCTTGTGACTGCCTCCCGGCCATCACTGTCCCCTGTCTGCCCCCCTTCTCCCAATCTATGCTCTCCTTGCTTCCATCCCAGCTTCTGCTCTGTGCCTGTAGGCTCCATCCCTGTTCTAGCCTGGGACACTGAGCATGGCCCCAGCCCAGCCCCCATGACAGCCGTGAGCCCCTGGCTTGGGGCTGTGCTCAGTGTCCCAGGCTGCAGTGTGCATGGAGCCTGCTGGCTCAGAGCAAAGATACGGGCTTAGCTTCAGCAAAAGAGGTTAAGCCATAGTGGTTTACCTTATGGTATTTACGGGGATAAAAGCATTCACACATAGGCAGTTGCCTAAGTGCTTTTGGCATATGGTAAAGTCTCATGCTCTTTTGTCTCATGGTAAATTGTAGTTTGGGTGTAGTGATTCAAGGTTTCAGTGATTTCATTATCATTGTATCATTTATCATTGGTATTATGATTGCTTCTGGTGAAAAAATTAAATTGTGGATAATTTGCTACAACAGTGCAAAGATAAGTGCCGTTTATTTTAAGCGCTATAGTTGTGTGCTGATATTCCATCAACAGGAGTAAAATAGTATAGCTAGATCAGTTAAGAAACTAAAAAAAAGGGCTTATACCTGTTCTGTACAGTGTGTCTTTTATTTAAAAAATTTTTTTTCTTTGCTGTGACGTTAGCTCAGTAATGGAGTTGCATGTGGTATTTGTGACTAAATAAAACCAGTACATTTGTTGGGTTAAAAGAAAGAAAATTCTAATCCTTCTAATGCCTCTCTGTCTTGTAGGTTGTCTCGCTCTTCCGAAACTGAATTTACAGTTTTTGACTCTTCATGACTACCTGCTACGGAACTTCAATCTTTTCCGCTTAGAGTCTACTTACGAGATCAGACAGGACATTGAGGATAGTGTCAGCAGGATGAAACCTTGGTAATTTTGGTTAAAACAAATGAAACACCGCCAGTTTTTTGAAAATAAGTAATTGGTGTTGTGTGTTAAAATTTAAAAAAAAAAAGTCACCCCAGTAGTAACTGGCTGATCTGGCTATATGATATACAACAGGAATATTATATAGTGTATGTGTTATAAAATATTTTGTTGCACCAGTTTTGTGTGTAAGATTCTTTTAATTATGTTATGAAAATATGGTTTGGTCCTGTAGGAGGATATACTTGTAAGAGTTTTTGACCACTGTATTTTGAAAAGTATTTCTAGACACATCGTGATAATATTTTTGTTAGTTGCTAATAACAAAATTTCACTACGTTGGAATTGTTCTTAATATTATGCAAATTATCGACAGTTATATGTTGGATTTGGAAAAACACTTGGTATTGATAGAACTGTATTCCCATAAGGTCTATAAAAACATCATCACCGACTTTGTTATGACAGTGGTCAGTGCTTGCGAAAATATTACTTGGATGTCATCATTGTCTTGTTTCCTTCATGAATCAACTACAGCTTTGTATGGAATGGTATCTGTTTCATACCCTGTAGCTTTTCCATTTGTAGTAGTTTCTTTCTGCTTGGGTGATTTTGTTTTTTAAGACATCAGTTCAGAGTTTACCAGTATCCTGACAAGACTAGAAGAATATGCAACTAAAAAGTACATTTGTGTTATTATGTTTTGGTTCTTGTTTACAGGATGCACCAAAATTACTTTAGTGACCTCAAATTCTGATATTCTGTTTTTTATCTTTTAATAACAGGAGCAGATTTTGATATTTAAAATAAAGCAGTTTAAAAAAAATCAGAATGTTTGACTGAATAATGGCTCTAATGTAATGTTACTTTTTAGGCTGTCGGAATATGGAGGTGTTGTGTTCGGTGGATGGGCAAGGATGGCACAACCCATTGTCTCGTTTACTGTCGTAGAAGTGGCAAAGCCCAACATTGGTGAAAACTGGCCTATGCGAGTGAGAGCAGATGTTACAATCAATTTAAATGTCAGAGATAACATCAAAGATGAATGGGAAGGTACTTGTTTTTTTTTCAGCAATAAAGCACTTTTCAATTTGATCTTAAGTATCAGTATTTGAAATAAATATAGTGCTCTCATAATATCTGTACAGTGTTGAATATCCTTGTCCTGTTTTATTTCTATAGCAGTAGCTATACCAGGGTTAGGCCTGGGTTATAGAGTTTAGTTTTAACAGGAGCTTCAGAACTGCTACTATACTCTTTCCCAGCTCAGAGAGCTTCCTCTTGTGTCTTGTCCTGTTTTAAATTCTCATGCAGTCTAAAACCATGAACCCTAGCCTTGAAGGTAGTTATGACATAATTGCTACAAACTTTCCTCCTAATACTCAGAAAAAAAGTTCTGGTTGGTGACTAATGTTTAAATGACTACATTAGGTGAGTGATGTTCTCAATAATGGAGTTGGGCAGTTTGTACGTATTCTTTTATACTGTGATCCATTCCACATGTTGGAAATATCCCATTTTTTTATGGCAGGCTGACAGCCATTATGAGGTCCTCTGTTTGCACTTTCCATCAATCTAAATCATTATGAAGTTTTCAGTAATGTAAATTATCATTAATTAGTAGGTATCCATAACATAAAACATGAAAATGTCAATAAAACTGCCCTGGGATGCGTGAACAGTTGAGATTTGCATCAACAATTTTTTGATCTGTAAAACTGCCCTGTGAGGGGTCAGCAATTGAGATTTGAATCCAGGATTTAAGTGTAAAACTATAGTACCTGAACTAAAAGACCTGCTCTGTTTACTCAGAGTCAGTAGCATACCCAACACTATAAATTTTGCCTTGTCTAGGATTTAAAGGTGCAACGTGTTGGATAATGCACTAGTTTAGGTAAAGTCTAAGTAGCTGAACTTCTAAAGAGAGCCATACTGAATAAGTATGGGTTATATTAAACAAAATGGAAAATATGAAATGAAAGCTGCTCTCTACCTAGGCAGGACAAAAGGATCTCTTCCTCATCAGCCTTTTAATCTTTTATATTCTGGACCATTAATATGTCTTAACCAATTTGGCACCTTCTTAAACTCTACAAAGATGTGCCAGCTACAGTTTCATGCTTTCATCCACTACATTAGTCTCTCACTTTAAAGGGTTGCTTTTGAAAGAACACAGTTAATGTGTTTCCTCCTATGCAGAAACTACCCATTCCCCTTAGCATGTTAGTGTGTTGTTTATCCAACTAGCAGAACTACCATATGAACCACTATTAAGACTGTACATGTTTTCTAGCTGAGTAGGTGGTAGATCAGGCTATAAAAATTGTTCCAGTGGTGCAATACTTCTTTGGGCCTGAACGTTGGGTGACTGCAAATTTGCAACAAGAAAATGATGGCTTTTACAGAGGTGTACTATATTTACTCGGCTCCAGAACAAGGGTTTTTTTTTTTTTTTGACCATTTAACAGGCTGCAAGGACCAGGCCCAAAGGGGGAGGTAGGTAGTAAGAGGCAGGGGACAAGTTGCCTGCCTCTTATTGCTTCTTCTGTTGCCTGTCCCCTGTTATTTTTCCCTTCTTCAGTGGTTGTGGGATGAATTTAAGGCAATCCTTCAATAATTAGATTTGATTCATAGAAAACTATAGCAAATTTATAAATTTTCCATGTGTAGAATCTGTTGGGGGTCATCTTAAATTCAGGGTCATCTTGGATTTGGGTAAATACAGTTGAAATTGTAAATAAGTTATTTTTGAGGCCGCAGGCCTACTGATTTGGATAGGCTCTTTGCCATTATCTCCAAAGCAAATTTGCCCGTATTAAGGGTTGGCAACAGTTCTTGTGTGGCAGGGTTGAAATAACATAGCTCAATCTGAGGTGGGCTGGTGCTTCCCTCTTAGCTGTTACCTATGTATGTGACCCAAACACTACAGGAACCCCCCACTACCAAAATGCAGCTGAATGGATCCAGTGCTGAAATGCTATTCATTGTCTGCCTGGTGAAGCCCAGATAAATCATTTAGCAAGCCAAATCTGGTCTGCATGCCATAGCTTTCTGACCTCTCGCCTATCTCAATATTGTATTGTTGTTTGGATAATTACCATAATGTGTCTGCCACTCCTGGGAATTTTAAATATCTGCCTTTTATTTTCATTTTAAAGAATGCCTTTGTATTTGAGATACTTTGACAAGTTAAAATTGGCGAGTCCATAATTTATTAATAAATCTTACCAATAGAGATGACCAAAGCACTCCATAAATAAGACTTGCGGGATTGTTGACATGACAGCTGCTCAATTGGATATGTCACTGAAGCAAAGTCAAGGTGCTGAATATTTCAGTTACACATACCATTTAAGTTATGATGGAACTCAATTTGTGTAATAAGGGCAATGCTCTGCCTGCTAACAAGAAGAGATCAGACAAAAAGTTGGAAGGATGTTGCACATACTATTGGTGCCCCATTATCAACTGTAGAACACATCTGCTTTATTTTATAATAAATTTGAAGGGTATGTTTTGACTTAAAATCTGTTTTTCTCAGACCAGGCCTTTTGAATATTGGCAATTCCTGAATGCAGCATCATATATCGTATATTTCCCAGTAGAGTTTATAGGCAACAATTTGTTGCTTGGGGAAATAAACCTGAGTTGACCTTGTTGGCAAGCTGCACAGATATTCCTATTCTGGAGACACCTGTTGAATGTGCTGGAGTTGGATAATGTGTTTATCTGTAAAGGCTGTCATGAAGCACGTATGTGAAATTGGACCATGCAGTAGAGTTGTTTGTGTATAGCAATAAAAATAACTTTTAGATTGTGATTGATAGGATTTTAAGTCTCAACTCAGGTTTGGTTATGTAACAGTTTTTTTGTAGTAGTAGTAATATTTCCATATTAGGGCAATTGATGTCAAATGGAGAAAAAAGGGTAGGAATTCTTGTATGGAATAGAAAGCCAACAGCAAGTATGTACACAATAATCAGAATATGAGCCAAGGTATTGTCCAAAAAGCTGGATGTTGGACATATATGTAGAATGTTTGATATTGCTTATATGCAGAAAGTTGTGCAAAAAATAGATAGTTTTCAGGGGGGTACCACGAGCCCATTTTGAATGTTGAGAGAATGTTGTTATAGTTCAAACCTTTCTCTCATGTCCCCCATTTCCCTAGGCTTAATCTTTTCATACTCTTTAGGAAGTTCTCTAATGCTAACTAATATAAAAGTGTGCTGATCCTATAGTTGCTTCCTCTTTTTTTCCTGTCCTCTTTATTAAGTGGTATCTTGCCAGAAAGTCAGATTTACATTTTTTATTTGAACTTTTAAATACAGTTATTTGCTGATTACCTGACAGTCTAGTCTGGTCTGGTCTGGAGTAGTTTTGTAGTAGTTAGATTTCCATCATTCTTGATCTTTTCCCACTTGTCCCACAGTTTGTGATTAAGTAAAAATAACAATTATATGAATATAATGTGTCCATAGAAACTTTAAAGTACATTTATGGGAAGTTTATAATCCTAGCGGTGTTTGTAGCTGTAGTGTTTTGTTTATGTAATTATTAATTCTATTAATTAAATTATTTGATGATTAACAAGGAATTGTAAATGTTAATGTATTTAAATGTAAATATACATCTGTCTTACAGGGAGCTGTATTAAACTTCCACATTAGTTATTATTCTTAATGTCTGTAGCCCCATGGCTGCACGGCTGTTTAAATTGCAAAATAAGAAAATAGTTCATCTCTGGGATTAACATACATATTTGTTAACATTTATATTGGGAAGGTCATAAGATCACAGAGATCAGCAGCTGCCAATAAGAATGAAGGGCAGGGATTCTTATTTTGCTCCTGATTTAGCAAGGCACACATGTGCCTAAATTTTAAGTATGTGAGTAGTCTCAGTAGCCGAAGTATACTAATGGGCTTTAAATTAAATAAATCCCTTAAGCATTCTGCTGAATCAGGGTCTAGCAGGAGAATTTACTGCATCACATCACCCCATTTTTTCCCTTATTTTTATAGTATTTTATGAGTGTCTTTTTATATAATTCTGCATAAGCTAAGGATTATTCCAGTAAGTAGAAAAGACAACTGATTCTGGACCCTCTGTAAGTAAGGCACATGCCTTAAAACAGCATGCTCTAAATACTGAACAGATGTCACTCCTGATCTTACTTGAAAGTCAAAAAGCGGGGGCAGGGGTTTCCTGTTTTATAATATTCCAGTTGCTTGTAAATGAACCAACGCAGCAAATATTAGTGAATAAACCAAGTACTGTATTTTCAATCAGGTCTCCGTAAACATGACGTTTGTTTTTTGATTACGGTTCGTCCCACACAACCTTATGGCACAAAATTTGATCGAAGGCGACCCTTTGTGGAGCAAATTGGCCTAGTGTATGTCAGGGGATGTGAAATCCAAGGCATGTTGGATGATAAAGGCCGCGTCATTGAAGAAGGTAGGATGATGCTTTATTGTTTTTTTTGATAGACAAAGTATTTATTTTGAGAGGTAGCTAATGACTTCTCTCATGTTTTAACTGAAAAATACTACAATATTAACATTATTAATAATTTAAAAAAATATTACCATGCTCAAAAAATCCTTTGTGTATGTCTTTGGAAAAAATGAGGCATTTTTTTCAGATGGTATAAATCATTATAGTTCCATAGTCCACAGTGTTTTCTTTCCGTTAAAATAAAATGGACGTGTTTGTAAAACATTTTTAGACATAATGTGAAAGCATGCCAGTAAACTAATTGTGATGTCTTCTAAAGATTCACAGAAATCATCTGCACACTATGAATTTATCCAATTCAATGCTGATTTACTCTTAATTTGCTTTCAGCATGATTTCTTTCTTTTATCTGATTCCCATTTCTTTTTCAGGGCCTGAACCCAAACCAAGACTTAAAGGAGACTCTAGAACTTACAGAGTGTTTCTAGATCCTAATCAGTATCAGCAGGACATGACAAATACAATTCAAAATAGAACAGAAGATGTCTATGAGACATTTAATATAATCATGAGGAGAAAGCCAAAAGAGAACAACTTTAAGGTAAGTCACCATACAGTTATTCTTTAGGATAATAGTTATCCAAATGCGTTAACAGTTCTTGAAACCTACAGGCTTGATTTTTACTGAGGGTGACCTTTTTCAGTGGACAAAAAATGGTTGGATTTAATTTCTCCAATAAACTACTATCATTAAAACAAAATCTTTGAAGACCTTTATTTGGAAATAAAGTCCTTAAACATACACAGTTTGGACAGTTAGAGATTTGTTTTCAGCTGTCACTTGAGACATCTTGGCAGGTTTAAGTTTGAACAAGATTATCTCTTTAGATAATATTATAACGAGTGCTGTGAATTGTTTAGTTGTGTATTACTGCTTATCCTGCTACATTTTTAAGATTTTTTTAATCTAAAGCTACAATTCACAAAACGTAGTAATGCACATTGGCTCCACTAAGAGAATAACATAGGAGCAAACATCAGCATTCAACAAATTCAGTAGACACGGGATATTTTTAAGTTTTATGTTTTTGCTTCTTTAAGTAGCGTCATGTTTTAGTGTTTCTCTTAATTGGTATGTTGCTTGTTGCTTCTCATTTAATTAGTTTGATAAGCAATTTAATAAGTAATCTTTCTCAGACTTCAGAGCTTTTCTGTGCACATATTTACATTTACCTAAAGACTAGTTGCAAACAGGTTTCTGATGATAAATATTGTGGTCACAGAGAGAGTGCATTTAGAGAAAAATAGTCTGAAAACAGTACACATTTTTATGGGCTCCTCTCCTTTCTCTTCTCTGTATCTGTTCTGCATCCTCATTTTAAATTCTTTTGCAGTCTCAGAAAGGTAGACATGCATTATGTCCATTTATTGAGTGGGTATAGCAATGCATCTCTTCCTGGAACAAATTGCACTTCTTGTAGAATAGCTTCTTACTTGTTTGATGGGGCCCACATGGGGAGATGCAGTAACTAAATCAAGTAATTTTGTTTTGTGATTGGAGGAAGGTGGGGATGAGGACAATACTCTTTTCTGTCCACATCAGCATAGGAACAGTTATTGTCATGCATAGTTTAATTATTAATTCATTGTTGTTGGTATTCTTTGTAGAATTACTAAAGGAGCCCCCATACACTTGATATTATTTAGAGTCTTCAGTAGCTAACAAGAGTTTGTATTTTGAAAGTCATTAGGATCAGGGACCGCTAAATTTTGAGTAATCCAGATGTTTTCAAATTTAAAGCACAGCATTGATTTTTCATCTTGCATTAGAATAAGAGCATTTTACCCTGTTATGTCTCTAAATGCTTTTGTTCAGTGTTCTTTTATGTTCTACAGTCTTGGCAAAAGAACAGACGATGCAATTTTTTTTCTCTTTAGATAATATTATAATGAGTGCTATGAATTAATTAGTTATGTATTGCTGCTTATCCTGAGTAGCTATACCTGCATTTTTATCAGCATTTCATTTGAGATAACAGTTTTAGTATAGAGTTTTTCAGGGAGCTTGATCATTTCATGTTACTCCTGTTACACTGTTTCAAATTTTTAGATGGGCCTTAAAATAAATCTTCTGTCTAAAAAACATTCAGATTAGCAGCCTTTAACTTTTGGGCATACTTCATGATAATTTTATGCTAATGGAAACTGTTTTAAATCTAACTTTCAGCAACTGAGCCACTAGTACAAATTGCTGGAAGCTCCATAATACCTATTTGGTCATACCTCATTTTTTTCTGTCTTCTTTTAAGGTTACTTTTGTGTAGAGCAAAAGGGAGAGAGAATTCTTAAGGATCTATAGTTTGTAAGATCACTTAGTAGGCCTCTGCCATATGTTACATGTGTTATGCAGTTACCTAGTTAATTGTGCAGTTAATTTAGACCAGTTATATGTGCATATTAACTAACACATCTTAAAACAGTCCAACCAACTATCGAGTTAGAGCTGGAAAAGATGTAATAACTTTTATGGCTGGTTTCTATCCAGCTTTAATTTGCATGTATAGCAAGGTATGCCCCCACAGCTACACCATACATTGCTGCAGCTGGAAGTTTTCGCTGCTGACAGGACTCCCAGGCACAGCACCATCCCTTGGGTGCTGAGACTGGGAGTCTGGTCAGCTGCAGGACTCGCAGCTGTGGGAGCTTGGTACTAGTATGTCAGTGCAGGGAGAGCCCAGGATCACAGTCCTGCACTGGCAAGGATGTTTGGTGCTGGATCCATCTGATGCTGGATCCCACAATCATGCCTCTTGCTGTGGGTGGCGTGGCAGGGGGTGCAATTGTGTGGATTGTGCATCAGATTATATCACACCTTTACCTGAACATCTAGAGGAGGGGACCTTAATGTTGTATAAGCTCAATAACAGCTAACTGGCTACTGCTGCTCCTTGGTAGTTTGAAGATTAGTTCTTATTATAAACTGGATATTTGAAAGTCTGACTAAGCAAAAAATAAAACCAGAAAGTTGTTGTTTAAAGACCATCCTGTTGAAAAGTAGGTCATTGCTGACTGACTTTTGATTCTGTTAGTTGGGTATTTCCAAAGAAATCTGTTAGATGTATTTATATTCAAGCAATCCAAAGCTGAGTAAAATTTAAATTTTAATAGGGGGTCTTTGTAATGTGTTCTGTGAAGTTACATGAGGAATAAGACACAGGATCCTTTTTGCCTTTCCCCATAGGACACAGGTGTGCGTTTGATATAAAGTAATGACTTTGCACGTTGGTCAGTTCAGGACAATCTAGTGCTATCTGGGAATAACTGAATATAGCAGCAGTCTTTTATTTTACCATTTTTCTTGTTAAAATCCTAGAAAATTCATTAATTGCATTTAAGGAATGTTGAGTGTAAAAGTGCATAAAAGTTTAAAAAAAAAAAAAAAAAAAAAAAAAATCATAAAGAAGGTATAGCTGGAAGGAACCCCTAAAGGTCATCTAGTCCAACCCTCTGTCTGAGGCAGGATCACCCCTCTCCAAACCATCCCGTACAAATCCTTGTGTAATCTATTACTAACTACATAGGCAACAGTGTAACACAACTACAATACATAGCATCCTACCCTGACACAGGTAGAGCAAAGCAACAGTGGTGGTCAATGTCCTGCTGCTGCAAGGTTTGTTAAAGTACCCTGAACAGATTCAAGTAAGGCCATGTGCCTCACTACAGAGGAAGGCAAAATCCCTCATAGTCTATATCAACATGACCATAGGGTAAAATTTCTTCATTACCAATCACCAAATTTTACCCTTAGAAGAGGAGCAATGAAAAGCCAATTTGTAATGCCGTCGATTTTCTTTATATCAGTACCAGTCCAATATCGGACTGTTGTATTGGTGCACCTCCAAATAGAATTTCTCTAGGAAAGGGCACAAGGGCAGGGTGGATAAAAATCAATAATTTAAAAAAAAAAATTTTAGTTCATTGTATTTTTTTTATTTTTTAAGATGCTTTTAAAAAATATATATATATAGATAGTGTATGATTAGAAGTTATAATCCCTAGTCCATGATGACATCTTTGAGCTTTAACACATTTTAAATGAAAACTATTTGAGACAATATATTCATGTAATCTTTTTAGAAAAGTTCTATAAATAGGTCACAGCAGGCCATGGACTATTTTAGGGGTGCAATCTGATAGAATTTGCAGAGATTCCTTTATAGATTAGTAAAGATTAAATAAAACCCAGTGGGACTTAGTGCTCAGTCTAGAAGATTCCATTAAGCATCTCTGTGATGCTTAGTTTCAGTTCTCAAACTTTGGATTTGTGTCTCCAGAGATACCATCCTTGTTAACAGCAGTATATGGAGATGAGGTAACAGACCTGATTACCTACCCATCAGCCCTCTTTTCTGCAAGTTTGTGTACACAGAGTGAAGCCCTTACTTCTCTCTGAAAGTGCAAAGTTTCAAGAAGTTAAATGCATAGAGAGTTATTGGGGTGGAGTAGATCTGGGCAAGGGGGAGGAGTCTGGAGATAAATATAAAGGGGGAGGGGCAGTAGAAACAAAAGAGAAACATTTTGAGCAGAATACTCGAAGTCTTGAAGGATAAGGTTCTGAGTATAGCATCTTCATTGTTTTGAAATCTAGTGAGGGAATGGTATGGTAGAAGGGAAGCAGACTTGCCAGGCCATAGAAGAGAGAAGAAATCAAAGATGAGAAGTAATCTAGAAAAAAGTGAAGAAAGCCCCCAAGCTAATAACTTATTGCTGCAGTGCTCATTTGATGTCCTCCTAATACAGCGTGGCAAAAATATCCCTCAAGTATCCATAATTAATCTAGTGACTTGGAGATTAATTCACCTACCAGTGACTTCAAAGTATCTGTTTCAGTTAGCTTTGTTAAATAAAATAACCAAATCATAATTCAGTTTTCTGATGTAGCTGCAAAATTAATCTGAAAAAAAAAAAAAAATCACTGCTTTAAAATGAATAGTGTGTACCTTTTAAAAATGAAACCCACATCTGTCTCAGAGTTGTAAATGCTATGTATTAAAGTTATATCAGACAACAAGAATGCACTTTTTGTAGAAAACAATGATTAAATCAAGTCTTCCTGACCAGTGATTTTAAGTCATGGTTTGAAGCATGATCAATCAATTTGATATAAATCAAATCCACACTGAACAAGGGGATGAGGTAGTTGTACAGTCATAAAATCATAGAAGTAGGGTTGGAAGGGACCTTGTAGATCTTCAAGTCTGACCCCCTGCCAGGGCAGGAGAAAAAACTGGGCTCAAATGATCCAAGCCAGGTAGGCATCAAGCCTTCTCTTAAAGACTCCCAGGGCAGGAGCCAGCACCACTTCCCTTGCAAGTTGGTTCCAGATCCTAGCCGCCCTGACAGTGAAGTAGTTCTTACGAATGTCTAATCTAAACCTACTCTCCAACAACTTGTGACTGTTATTCCTTGTTATGCCAGGGGGCACTAGGGGAAACAAGGTCTCTCCCAAACCCTTCTGGTCCCCCCTAGTGAGTTTATAGATAGTCACCAGGTCCCTGCTCAGCCTTCTCTTGTGAAGGCTGAACAGGTTCAGGTCCCGCAGTCTCTCATTGTAGGGTCTGCCCTGTAGTCCCTGGATCATGCAGGTGGTCCCCAGATCATGCTGGGGACCACCAGTCCTTGAGTCTGGGTGGGTTAGGGGAGAGCAAAAAAGGGGACAGGCCTTTGGAGAAAGGCAGGAGTTCCTGAGGGTCAGATCAGCTAAGACTGAAGAAAACTAGCTGCAAGAGAGAGAAACTCCGTGGGATGCTGGATACCCTCGACCTAGAGCAAGGATCAGCAACATTTTATGGTGGCAAGCCACTGCCACTGTTGTGTCTTATACCTGGTTATAATGCAGCACAGGAAATCTCCAGACTACAATACAGTGTAGTGCAGGCTGGATCCAGATCACAGGCCATTGGTTGCTGATGCCTGGCCTAGAGGACTGCGACCCAGTGTAAAAAAAAAGAAATGTGCGTGTGTGTGCGCACACACACATTCGAGTGTACAAGGAATTGAAGCAGGGAATGGCATGTAGGTGGATGTTAACTAGGTCTGAGTACCATTGGTGGTATGTACAGTAAAGATTACTTGTTTTAGAAATGCTTCTTTCAAAGCCTGTGTCTGGTTTACTGGTCATTTTGACTATCAACCCTTGAGGTAAACAGTGTCTACAAAGCGGAAGCTCTGGGAAAGGTTTTGCTTAAGCAAGAGAGTCTGAGTCTCAGGGCATGGGCCAGTGATTGGCACTGTTTTTGGTCAGGGTGCCAAAAGCACCTGCAACCTTGATTTGTAATATCTTGCATATCAGGGGTGGATGGTAGGGGAGCCATGAGGGGCTTGATTTTTGTTGTGGCAGCGTAGCCCCAGTCCCTTCCCCACTGAATGCCTTTGCATGCCCCTTGGCACCTGTGCCGAGGGTTGCCTGCCCCAGCCTAGGCAGTTAGATCGAAAGGTTTTGCTTTCAGAAGGAGGTTTTAAACAAGGAATTTGTACCCAAGGTTGTATCTAGGAAGTTAAAAGGTAATGTCTGGGTGTGGTTCAGACACACAAAAGCTTAAGAGGACATGAATCTAGTATGTGCAGCCCAAACACAGCAGCTTTGTGAGCATCTAGCAAAGAGAGCTTGATTAGGGCTGTGATGACAGTTTCATTTAAAACTCAGTTTTCATTGTAAAAGTAATCCACTCTTGCTTTCTGTAGCAGGTTGCCGCCTCAGAGCCTTTTCAGCCAGGCTTTTGCCCCTTCGCAGAGCATTTCTTAAGCCTCGGTAATATGCTGTCTTTAAACCTGCTGACTCCTGTGGCCTAGAGTATCTCTCAGCATGCCCCAGTAATACTGAATCTTTTGACAAAATTAAGCAAGTAAATGAAAAACCTTATTGTCCTGAACACTAAGAGTGGTCTGTTGTGGCTTCAGCCTTCCTCCCACAGGCTTGCTCTCCTTGTAGCCGTGAAGTCTCTGTTCTTTCTCTGGTTCTGCCTGCTGGGGTTTTCGATTCCCAGCAAGCCATGTCTTCATTAGCCTTCCCACTGCAGCCCATCAGCCAGGCTAGCTGCCTTCTCTTCAGGGGACAGGCCACTCTATTACACATTCGCTATTTGTTGCTGGCTTACAGCATGTACCTCAAAATAACTTGTGTGTATTTTTGCTCCCAACATCATCACCCACTGCACGTATTCTGAACTAAGACTTAACTGCCAGTTCTGCTGATGATGCCTGAGGCAGAACAAGGCATCACTTGCCTTTCTGTTGATACAGTATCGTTTCTCTGTATTGTTAAGTGAAAAAGTGGTTTTATCAGTAAATTTACTAAGCAATGCTTAGATATTTTTCTGGTAGCTTAATTGATAATGTTGTTTGGTGTTCGGGAAATGCAGCCTGTTGTTTGATTTGGGTTAAATTGACTCTTACTAATTGGATAGTGCAGTAGTTAGACTGTTTAACAAACCATCACTACTTAAGCAGAACAGTGTAATGAGTGAATATAGCAACTGTTTCTGTCTGCCCAAACACCTGTCATTAGAGGCATAGTGCCTTTGAAATGCACAGTAATTCATTCCATTAATAAATATGTCACTTTTACTGATTTGATTTTTCTGTTTTCTAACTTTCAGGCTGTTCTGGAGACTATTAGGAATCTGATGAACACAGATTGTGTGGTTCCTCATTGGCTGCATGATATTATCCTAGGATATGGAGACCCAAGCAGCGCTCATTATTCAAAAATGCCAAATCAGATTGCATCTCTGGATTTTAATGACACATTTCTCTCCATTGATCATTTAAAGGCTAGTTTTCCTGGCTATAATATTAAAGTAACAGTTGACAATCCGGCTCTGCAGATACCGCCTTTCAGGTGACACATTTGGTTTCAGAGACGGTCTTTAACAGCTCGTTCTTTAGTGAATCTGTCAAAACTAATCAATGAAATTGGTCCTATAAAACTAAAGTATAATCAGCTTAGTTCAGTGAATGAAGTATACTCTTTTGCCCAAGAAGTTTCTATCAGTATTGTAATATGTGTGTTACAGTGGAAAATATAGGCCGTAACGAAGGTTAGGAGAATCCATTTAAATGTATATGAAAATGTTGTCCCTGACAGAAGTAGATGCTAGTCCACAAAAGATAACACCATGAATAGTTGGGGCTCTAATCAAGTATATACACAGTTTGTGTGTGTGCACATGTAGGTGTGCGCACGTGGGGGTGTTGAATGGATATATATAATATATGTTTTTTGGTGTGCATATACGATATGCACATCAATGTTTGTTACATACAAAGTAGCATCTACTTCTAGGTGGCTTGCAGCTTGGTTACCAGGAATTAGTTAATTTTCTTATATGGTATGGCTAGAGTAATTTAATGAAACTTGGGTTTGAGCAAACTTTTCATAGTGAATGAGACAAGAAGCCAAAAACTAAAAAGGCAGGGGTAGCTGAAATCCTAAAAGGTATTGTAAAAAATAAATAAATAACATAAGTAAAAGGATATACCTGACAACTGTTAACCGAAGCTGATAATGATTCTTCACTTCTTCATCCTTCACCACTGGATAGCAGTGATGAACTTATGAGACTTGACTGATAGGGTCCAGAGGGTCTCCTCTGGAGTCTCAGACCCTGGACCTCAGGCTCCCTGGACCTTGCCAGGTAGACCAGTGAGGAGGCAGGTGGGTGAACTGTGGGAATCCTGCCTGTTTTCCCTCAAAAGTTCATCAAAATAGAACCATTTCTGTGAGGGACAAAATTCTGATGAAAAGATACTGCAAATTTTTCAATCCATTCTGGTCATGGTACAAGTGAGAGGAATGATCTGTTCATGGACATTTCATAGTGAGTGTGTAACCTGGAAGAAGGCACCAATGCTACACCATAATCACTACTCTGATAGTGCCTATGGACACGATTATGCAATACAACAAATAAGTAGTCCATGGCTCAAAGAACTGAAGTATAAAATAAGAAGCAAAGTTGTGGGAAGGGGGATTAGGTGCCCTGGTATAACACAGGGATGATCTCTTTGCGAGAAGCTAGTATATACAACTACGCAGTGATGTGCATGATGAATATGTAGGTTCCTCCCAGTAAATTTCAGGATGTTTTGAAACCTTTGTTTTAATAGGAAACAACTGTTAAATATTCCTGGTCCTTAACAGATTAACTTCACGGCTAGTTACAGATGTATTCTTCATACAGAGAGAGGCTAAAGGCATATTATTTTATCACAGATGTCGCATTTGATTTGGATAGCCCTTGCCACAAAAAAGAAATCCCTTCATTTTAATTTTTTTCCCCTATTAAATTTACTAAAGCATACTTAGTGATGTGATAAAACCTTCTCTGTGTGATCTTGTAATGCAATATGAAATAGATTTGGAAATACAGAGTCTCCGGATCGTGAGGTCATTAAAAATGATGGAGATGATCTGAAAAGGGAATGTGTAAAATTGGTGATAAATTCGCGCTTTTAGCGCAAACAGGACAGCCAGTGTTACTTCTGTCTGTATAGTGGTAGTTGTCATAACTTGTTTCCATCTGCCTCTCTCCTAATTTCTCTTTTTCCTTTCTGTTGCCCTTGTTGTTCCAAACTCACCTTCCTGTTTTGTAGTCTTCCTTCTTGAACTCTTTATGTCAGCGGTGTCACCCCCCACCCCATGGGCCATATCTAAGGCTGTAGCTTTCCCACAGCAGCTGACAGACATCCCCAGCAGGACTCTGTGTCCTGGATTTTGGTGGTGTGCCCCCTCCCTGTGTTTCCCACTCTCAAATTCCTGGCACCTTTGGGTGCCTTATGGGACAGACTACACTGCTTTGCAGGCTCCTCACAAGCCATAAGTTTGACACCCATGCTCTACCTTATCCCATCCACGATGTCTAGAACACTTATTTGCCAGATATACTGCTTTGTCTTTAATCTTGTCTATGTTATGCCTCAAAGCCAACATCTTCAGGCAGTCCTTTATGTTCTTTTCCTCATCATTAATTTGCACCTTATCTCTCCTGAATTGTTTTCCTGTCTTCAGGGTTAGTGTGACATACATGTTATGTTATTCTAGAGACATTTAATACAAATTTTCAAAGACAATTATATTTCCTTCTGAATGAATTGAAGCATATATCACAAACATATGTTTCAGGATAACTTTCCCAGTAAGAGGTGGCAAAGGAAAGAAGAGGAAAGAGGAGGATGGGAATGAAGATAAAACTGAAGAAGCTAAAACCTTAGTTGTTGAACCTCATATTATTCCTAACAGGGGACCATATCCATATAACCAGCCAAAACGGTAATAGTCTTGTAATTTTGCCTGTACTAACGTGGAACAATCCGTAACTGAGTTATAATTTTCATTTGGTTATGCGGTTATATTCTCCCTTTTACATATAGAAGAAATATTTCTATTTCACATATAAACTAAACGTTTAGAGCAAAGATTTAGTGTAACAGTATTTACTGAAAAAACTACAACTAGGCGTATCAAAGTATGATGGAAATACGGGTCCTGATATTTGGTCATTGCATATACAGTGTAGAAAAGTCAGTTTAGTATTATGTGCTCCTGCTCAATATTGATTTTTAACTAAAATGTTTACTGTAAATGGTAAACTAGTAAGCTATGAATAAAAGGATAATCAAAGGTTTTTTTTAACATTATGTAGAATGTTTATTTCTTTTACATAAACAAATAAGACTGAAGATAAGAAAATTCAAGCCTGAAAAGGCCTAGAGACCATTAAAAGTTGAATATGTAGTTGGTAGTATTGTACCTGTCCCTAGCCACAACTCCTACAGGGACATGCATACAAGGTTTCTTGCATCTAGGTAGAAGAGAAAACAGATCTAGGCTCAAGTAAAGGCTTAGGAAGAAACATCACTTCTAAGGTTACTGACAGATCTTTAAATTAAAGGTGTGGTGGAATCAAGTCCACAATCCCAACAATCATGCCTGCTGCCATGTCACAGATAAATGGCAGGATGTGTGATTTTGAGATTGGGGATCAGATCCCAATCACATTGTGCTTGCTGGTGCAGGGAGATCATGTCTTATTGGGCTCCCCTTGCATGGTGAGTTGAAAGCTGGGTTTCTGACAATCACCTCATTTTCAGCTATCTCTGGGACCACACCAGGACTCAAACAGGCTCCCTGTGTGGTCCCTGGAGCTGGATAATGGTCAGGTAATCCTCAGCAGGATCAGGGCCACACCAGGGCTCTGATCAGTTGATTGTTGGCTGGGACCACACCAGGGATAATTGAAGACCCTGGCGTGTTCCTAACCCTGCTGCACGTTCAGTTTAAGGCCCAATGAAAACCAGCTGCAAAAATATTACACATTTTTTGTGTAATATTTTTGTGGCTGGTTTCCCTTTTGTGGTGCCATTAATTCCCTGAACAGGTGGCTTGGTTACTTCTAAAGATGGATTAACAGCCTAATTATGCCTTAAGTGTGATGTCTGCCAGGGACCTAACAGACAGCAGGCCTGAGGAAAGAGATGCCATAAGGAGACAGAAGCCACCTGGGAGAAAATTCTAATTTGGAGAGAGCTGGGTCATTTTGAAGATAAGAATTGAGGTGAAATGCCGAAGCATTTTTCCTTTGTTAATAAAGCTAGCCCAAGGCAAAGGCATTGGAACCGAGCAGTTCTAGAACATGATTTCACCTGCAGCTTGGTATATTATTCCTCCAGTTTACAAGCACAAACAATTGTCGCTAACTAGTTGGATGTTTCCCACTTTTAAAAATTGTATCTGGGGTGGGGATTTGTAATAATTAATTTACGTTGTTTCTTGCCTTCAAACATTATTTTGCTGAAATAAACAACTATAGTACTCCAGTACAGCAATTTACCTTACCTTAATGCTTTATCAATTGTACTTCCTGATACGCTTAGAGTACCTAATGATTAAAGACCTGATCTAGTAAAGTGCTTGGTATACGCTTAATTTTAAGTGTGGGAGTAGTCTCATTGACTTCAAAAGGACTTATTCATGTTTAATTTTAAACTACAACTACAAGAGGCTGGATGCCTACCTGGCTGGACTCGTTTGAGTCCCGTTTCTCTTTTTGGGGTTTTTTGTTGTTCTCCCGCCCTGGCGGGGGGTCGGGCTAGAAGATCTACTAGGTCCCTTCTGACCCTTAATCTATGAATCTATGAATCTGTTTTGACTGGGCTTATACAACTGGGAGTATGGTAAAAACGTTTTAAGTCATAAGTTTGAATGTGTCTTCTTTACATAATTCGAAGACTGAGTCAATTGGCATAAATAATCAGAGGACAGATATTCTTGGAGGAATATATAGCATTTTCATTTAAATGTAACTTATTACCTTTTGTAATATGAATTATTTTGCATTATTATTCTGCGTCTTTATGATATGTATTTTGTTTCGCTACAGAAATACTATTCCATTTACCCACACTCAGATTGAGGCTATACGTGCAGGAATGCAACCTGGGCTGACTATGGTAGGGATTATAATAATGATTTAAGAAGTTTTACTGTATATTTTTGTTTAATGCTCTGGTTAATTTTAGGGCAGATTCTGTGAAGTATTGGTAACAACTTTTTTTCTGACTTCAGTGTTTACCCTTGTTTCAGGCCCAAGGTGATTTCACTTTTGTATGTTTGTAGATTTGTTTTTTTGTTTTTGTTTTTTGTTTAAACTCCTTAAAGCTAAAGAAGATGCAAATCAAAGCCAACACCATTTATTTGCTTCAGTGTAAACTGTTGAACAGTATTTTACAAGGCTCACAAATACATTTCTGCCTCTTCAAATATGTGTCCTCATTAAGTATGGTCTATCCTATAAAATAATTACTCAGTAGAATATTTTTTGATACTCATGATGGTTTTACAAGGAGGAAGGACTCTAGGTATCAGCACTTGTGTCCTGGCTTTTGAAATTAGGCCTTTTACCACAGTGATTTCTTTGTAGTCCTTCCACTTTCCTTTTTATGTATCACTTTCCACTCAATCTCTAGCAGATGAATGACTTTTGGCTTTTCCCCTCCTTTATGTAAGTTTTGTTAAGACTGTCTGCAGTAGTTCTTCACCTGGATAGATGAATTGGAATCAAAGAAGCTGCTCATGAATAAAGGCTGTAGGATTTGTTGACCAGCTTTTGGGAGTTCGTTTGTTTTGCAGTAAAATTTATCAGAACCTTCTGAATGATGGATTTTATCTGCAATACCCAAGCATTTCTCTTGAAATGAAAGGGCACGTTTTCCATGTCAGACAGGTTTTGGGCCACAGTAAAAATGTACCAGTGATAAAAGTGATTAAAAATTACTTAGTTAATAATGTCTTTTTTGAAACAACCCCACTGATGTGAACTGCTGCTGGGTTTTAAATAATTACAGTGTTTGGCTAAGAATACCAACACTTATGTATAGGAGTCTCCTTTCATACCAGTATTCCTAACTTGTCAGCAGGAAAGAAGATTGGAAATTAAAATCTTTATTCCTATTTTGTAATATATAATCAACGCATGAAATACTAGGGAGGGGAACTCTAGGTGATGTAGGTCTTTGTTTTAATCTTGTTTTTCAATAAAGTACTATGTGTTGTTAATTAATATCATTTGATCTTTGAATCAATAAGAATAACTTCCCAATATAAATACAATGTATTTTGAAGCACCATCTGCATTTCTCTTGGAGGACTTTTAGGGATAAATTACTAGTGCTTAAACTTAGTTCCAAGAGTCTATTAGTAGAGAAATAGTAAGTATATGAAAAGTCAGGCTTTGGTGGTATTTTTCTAGTAACTTATTTTCAATAGAAAATACTTTTTCTTTCATTTTGAAGAGCAGTCTGCTTTAATTAAAAAAGTCATTTTTAAATGTCATATTCTTTTTAAAGGCAGTTCTCTTTCAGTTTTGTTTTGATTTGGTCCATGAGGCATTTTTAATAATTGTTTGGGCTATCTGTTCCCAGCTCAGACCTATGTTTTCATTCCAAATATTATAAGATAAGATGCTGAAGTGAGGAAGGGTAGTTCACACTAAAAGCTTTTCTACATTCCTCCCAATTACAGTCGTTTCAGTAAAATATATCACCCACCTTGCCTTGCATTTTTTCTGGATCATCGTGGCTATAACATCACCTCAATTCTGCCATAAATTAACATGAGCTTTAGTGTAGTGCATTATGTACATGCCAGGGAGAAGATCCCACTGTCTTTGCATGAGAGAGGTCCAATCTATCAGTAGGACTGCTTGCGTCATTCACAACGAGCATGACTTGGCTACTAATTTTACATTTCTGTCATACCTTGATCTGCTCAATTTGGGGCTTCTTATTTTCAAAAGATGTAAGTATGCATTTGGCTACAATACTTAGAATTTGTTGAAACGCCTTATATGAATACGAGGTTGCATTTTATACATTAAATTGAGAGGGCATTAGTTTTCATATATATGGGAAAATGTTATTTCATTGGCTCCTCAATACAAATAAGTGTTCAGTCTCTACGCTGGATGGAATTTAGTCAGAAACTTGATCTAGAATATCCCTGAAATCATCTATCTTCAGTTGAAAGGTAGTATTTCTCAACTGCATTGAGTTCAGATAAATAGAGTAAATTAAGGTATTGAGGATGGCTATAAGTATAAGAATCTGAGCAGATGGATCACTGAATTACTTTTAAATATATGTCCTTCAAGAATGGTGATGTTTGTGTATACTGCAGCTGTATTACATACATGGATAATTGAAGGACATTATTATAGACTCATAAAATGTGCATGAATAAAAAGCCCAAATTCAGAGTACTGCATTTATAATAATCAGTATGCAGTTTGGAGTGTCATGCTTCTATGATTCAGAGCTCTTAATTTGAGGAATAAAAACTTTTTGTTAGTCAGTGCAGTCTCATCAATCTCAGCTATTATCACTAGAACTAGTGATACAGTTCTCAGGGTCCTAGTGTAAGTTTGAAAGGGCAGGCCCCATTGAACTAGTTCTTAATGTATGGGTCTGCCCTCTTCATCCTTTTTCAACTTCTGCAAAGCTTGTTGCCTTTGGATTTCAAAATGGAGAATTAGGGAATGATGAGGTGTGGTCCTATTGCAAAGGACAGTACGAGGCTAAGTCCTTCTTTACTATGGACATGTATATAATAACTGATCCATTTTACAGTTGGCAGGTAAGAAATACCTTTTGCATTGTTAAGTGACAGTGCTTGTAATTTAGCTTCCAAAGTTGATGTGTTGCCTTCAAAAGAAAGATGCTTCTTGGCAAACTGTTTTTTTTCTGCCCTATCCATAACTCTTTAATTTTCCCAACTGGTTATTAGTGGCCAGTGGAGTGAATTGTGACGTTCTTTACACATTCTGTTTTCATTTTATAGGTAGTGGGTCCACCTGGTACAGGCAAAACTGATGTGGCTGTGCAGATCATATCCAATCTCTATCATAATTTCCCTGAACAAAGGACCCTTATAGTTACACATTCCAACCAGGTAACTAAACAGATTTTCTATTTTACCTTTCTGTACTGATCTATTTTTGTTTCAGAGTTTAATGTAAATAACTTCAGTGTTATAGTCAGGTACATTAGATGGGTCTGAGTAGGTTTGTGTCGGGTTTAAGTCCAGCTTTGGAATTGAGAAGAAATGAATATGAGATGAAAACTAAAATTTGACATTAATTCCAAAGTATCTTTATCAGTTAGGTTTTCTTTACAGGGCATTTAATGGTAAGATGTAGAAATATACCATTATTTGCTTATATCCAAGCATGAATCCCACTGCAAGTGCATGTGCATACCAAAGAAACAAACTTTTTCTTTACTGGCAGCATCTCTTTGGCTCTATGAATGTGATTGCTGCCTCCTTGGGTATGTCCAGATGAGTGTGCACATGCATTTCCCCAGGGATAAATAGCAGTGGTACATAGTTGGGTACGCGGACTGTGTCGCACGGCAAGCACCTGGGCTGGCCCCAGCAGCCTTACCTGGGGTCCTGGAGACCTCCTGGGGCTCCAGCAGCAGCAATCTGGCATGTGGAGCCTGGCTGGCAGCTGGAGTGTGGCTCTAGCTGGCCAGGCTTCAGTTTTCGGCAGTGCATGCTGCTGCCACGTGTGCAGCCCTGTTTTTTTCTGTCATGGGTGTCCTGCCCAGCCCCATCCCCTGCCCAGCCCAGCCTCCTGGCACTTTAAAAAGCCTGCACTCACTGGCTGTAGCAGCAGCGATAAGGGTCTCTGAGGGCTCATGGCAGAGCCCTCCCGTGCAATGGGGAGCAGCAGGGATCATCTCCTCCCCCGACAACCGCTTGGCACCTGTGCGGCAGCTGCCCCATGGCAGGGGATGGGGCCAAGCAGGGCAGCCGTGGGGGCTTTTCCCGCGGCTCCCCCCACCTGGGGAGAGGCAGGCATAGCCAGAGGAGTCACAGGAGAACCTGCAGCTGCCCTGCTGTGCCTGCCTGTCCCCGGCCGATCCGAATCTCCAAATCGGCGCCAAATCTCTATTTCTGATTCGGCCCTATTCTGGTATCACGTTGACCTGTGCCCCCGTATCTAATTTAAGTTACCATTAGTCCATTGGTGTCCATGATAATTGTCCAATACTCAGAAGAGTGAAATTCTTCTTACATTGTGCCCGTGATGAATTCTTCCTCTTTCTAGTTGCATAGATCATACTCCTGCTGTTTCTTGTGTGGTGCATCCTGCTCCTTTTTGCAAACTCTTGCAAAATGATCCAATCTTTACCAAGTGTTTACCAATGCAGGGCATTGTATGGATTTGTGGTAACCCCCTCAGCATTTGCAGCTGACCATTGTTTCTTCAAGCAATTCTCTTTGGCCTCCACTTGCCTATTTTGTAGTGAGGTCCTTTCTGTATTGTTTGTATGTTACCTTAGGTTTTTGCAGTCTTGTAATCCTGTCTAGTTCAGCTTCTTCTGTCTTTTCCTCCAGTGTCTACAGCCTGGCATTTGTTATCTCAGCCAGTTGGCACATTCTAACTTCCTTTTCCAAATTAAATTCAGGCTCCCTACCAGTCTTTTTCCTGAGTTATCCCTTATACCTAATACTATTTGGTCTCTGGTCGTGGGCTCTTTTAGGTCTCCAAAGTTGCATACCTGGCTTAGCAGTCTGAGGTCTTTGTCAGAGTCCTTCATTGTCTCACATTCTTTCTGCTGTCTCGTGGAAATTATACTGTTCAAAGGTTTCATTTTGTTTAGGTATACCATATTCCTCAAATCATTTATTACTGTGTCATAGGTTTTCTGTTCTGCTTCTGACAGTTGTAGGCTATTATAAAGAGGCAGAGCTTCTGAGCATGCTATATTAAAATATATACATGTGTGGGTGTGTATATATCTTGAGTGAATTTCTTTCCCTGTAGCTCCACTGGCCATAATATATGGTGAAGCTCTGCTTAAATTTCTTACAGTTTTCTTCTGCATTGCTATACAGCTTTAATTAATTTGGGAATCCTATTTTTCTATCTTTCTTTGCACCCTACTTCTGGTACCATATGTGGTTTGATCAAAAAGTTCTAAGACTTGATGTTCGGGGTATTGTTCATCAGGAATTTGTACCGAGTGGTCAAACAATCAATCAGGCCTTTTATAGAGAGGTTTTGATTCGATTGAGGGATAAAGTTAGAAGAAACCTCTGCGAGCTGTGTGAAAATGGTCGATGGTTTCTGCACCATGACAATGCTCCTTCACACACTGCTGTCTCCATTCAAGAATTTTTGGCTGAAAAAAACATTCTTGTGATACCACCCTCCATATTCACCTGACCTTGCCTCATGTGATTTTTCTTCTGTTCCCAAAAATCAAAATGAAGCTGAAAGGAAGGAGATTTGATGACATTCCAACCATCCATAAGAATGTGAAAGTGGAACTCAAAAAACTCACAGTTGAAGACTTCCAGCATTGCTTCCGAAAGTGGCAGGAAGGTTGGGACAACCAATATCATCTGGGGGAGATTACTTTGAAGGGGACAGCTCATAAAAATGTTGTTTGTACACTATTTTTTAAAAATAAAGGCTAAGTCTTAGAACTTTTTGATCACCCCTCGTATGTAGTTCTCAAAAGACCAAGGAATTAAGTTTATAGAATGATAAAACTTGAGGGGTTTTTTTGTTTGTCTTGTTTTTTCACAGTGGCCTCTTAGCCTGTTGATCTACTGTGCACTCCCCTTTTCCCAGGCTAGTGTAACAAATTATACCTAACACTCTTAAGGGTATCCATGAAGTAGAGTTTCCATCCATGGAGGTTTTCAGGATCCTGGTAGACAGAGCCTTGGCTGGGATCATATAGTTAGGGGTGGTCCTGCTTTGAGCAGGGGATTGGACTACATGACCTACTGAGGTCCCTTCCAACCCTATTTTTCTATGATTTTCTTTTCTGTGAATGGGGACAGTGATTTGAATCACAGAATTGAATCACTGTCCTCCAAATCGACCAAATCTGAGATGAAGACTTCCCTATTTGCACAGGCCTAGAAGTTAACTTGTCCGTTAGGAATATCTTTTAGAATATTTTTGCACTGTTAGTGTTCTGTCAACCTGGCAGACTGTTTAAGATCATAAAAGGCGAAGTTGATACTGAAGAAATACCTTTTGCTGACATTGGTGTTTCATGTCATTACTAAGATCACAGTTTTAGTTTCAAAGCAAACAGAGTCAAATATCAAAGCACAAAGACCCCTGAGGAACCCCACTTGATACCTCCCCCCCCCCAACTAGACATTGAGCTATTGATAACTATGCATTGAGTGTGATGTTCCAGTCAGTTAGGTATCCATTTTTCAGTACTTTAATCTAGTTGGTATTTCCTTAGTGTATTAATGAGAATGTCCAGTGTCAAAAGCCTTGGTGAAGTAGAAGTATATATCATACCTACTTCTCTCCCCCATCCAAATAACCTGTTACTTTGTCACAGAAGAAAATCAGGTTGGCCAGGCATGATTTGTTTTGGGTGAATGCATGCCAGGTGTTCTTAAAATCATCCCTTTGTCCTGTAGGTGCTTCAGAATGTGTTTTGTGATCTTCCCAGGTATCTAGGTCAAGTTGATTAGTCCATAATTCCTAGGATCCTTCTTCTCTGTCTTAAAAATGGGGACTCTGTCATTTTCCAATCATTTGTGACTTCCATGAGTTCTCAAAGAATATAGCTAATGGCTCCCAAATTACCTCATCCAATTCCTGGGGTACAGCCTATCTAGCCCTGCCGACTTTAAAGCATCTAGTGTCTTTTTAAAATAAATCCTAACCCATTCTACTGCTCTGGGCTGTTTGTCTCCTTTCCTGTCTTTGCTGCCTACGAACTCATCACCTGGTAGTTGCCCTTATAAAGGGAAAAATAATAATTAAAAAAAAAAGGCATTAAGTAGTTCAGCTTTCTCTACATCATTAATAACCAAATTGCCTTTTACATTCGGTAAGGGACCTGTGGTTTCTTTGGTTTTCCTCTTACCTTTGATATACTTGTAGAATCCCTTATTATTGCCTTCTAGATCCCTTGCCTCGCCAGCTGCATCACAAACTGTGCCGTGGCCTTTCTTCTTTTCCCCCTATATGCCTGTGCAATACTCTTATTCTCTTCCTTAGTACTATGACCAGGTTTCCAATTTTTATAGGATTCTTTTTTTGAGTTTCAGCTCAGTTGACGAGATTGCTGTCTAGGCAGGCAGGCCTTACGTTGCACTTCCCATTCTTCTGTTACATTGGGATACCTTTCTCCTGCACCCATTAAAGGGCCTCCTTAAAATATAACCAACTCTCCTGGACTCCTTTTTCCCACGGTCTTGCCTCCTAGGACATCCTGTCCACCAGTTTCCTGAGTTTTGTTAAAGTAAGATTTCCTGAAGTTCAGTGTTTTTATTCTGCTGTTCCCCTTCCTTCCCTTAGGATCTTGAACGCTATCATTTTATGGTTGCTGTCACCCAAGTTACCTTTCTTGTTCACATTCTCAACCAATTCCTCCCTGTTTATGAGCTGCAAGTCGAGTTGAGCTTCCTTCCCCTCTAGTTGGTGTTTCTACCATCTAGATCAAAAAGTTATCCCTAACACTCTCCAAGCATTTGCTGAACTTCTGTACCGCTGTATTTCCCTCCTAGCGGATGTCCCAGTAATTAAAGGCTTCCAAGCTCTGCATGGCATTGAGATAGGGAGATGGAACAGACTGGTTCCCTTGACTTAGCTGGAACTGGCCGCAGTAGTGAATATAAAGCATCTTTCTTTTGTATTGATCAGGGATTTTCTATGCCAGGATATTCACTAGGATCGATATGTACCACACTATGATACTAGTCTTTATCATAGTAATGAGAGAGGCTTATTCATCAATTCCACTCCTACAGGAGGTGTATTCATCCTTGCAATGTAGTTTTGCATCTTTTAGCAGAGAGCAGGCCCCTTTTTGAGGTATGTGTATGATTTCTTCAAAAGACTTAATATCCCAACCACTGGTGGACTTTCAAGACCAATTAGACCAGTCAGTAGCCTGCAAGTCATCTGTACACATATGGGATGTTACCAGAGTTGTTCTGAGAGTACTTTGAGTTTTTTCCACAGACCCTGACAAGCTAGTCCTTACCCCCAAGGAGGAAGTCCCATCCCATTCCTACTC